AATAATTATTTGAACTATTTATAAACAACGGTGATTTTATACAGTAATAAACAAATACTCTTTAATATAAAAGGTGAAACTGGAACCTATGGCGTAGAATTAATCCAAAACAAGCTGGGAAAAGTGCTCATTTTGGACCCTTCAATATATAGTCTAGTTCACATGTACTTTTTTTTGTAACATTTTTCAGTCCTGTCCAAAAATCACGACCAAGGTGTCATTCGATTCGTATTTTTGCCTAGAAAGTTTAAGGAAAGGTCCGAAAACGCGCCGATAAAAATTACAAAAGTTATAAACAATTAAGTGAAAAAGTGTGGGGCTTTAGTTTTTTCTTAATATCTCGGAAAATTCTCAAAATTTTGGAAATTTGAAGAAAGATTTGAAAAGATCAATGAATTTGCGTAAAAAAAGTCCCGACTCCTGAAACTGTTTCTCGATTATTTATAATTTTTACAGAGCCCTGAAAATAGAGCCAAAAGCGGGTAGTCTGGCTTCCGCGCGCCTTTCGTCACTCTGACATAAAAACAAAAAAAATATTTAAACATATTTTATTCATCTTCATTTTCAGTGAAAACAATGCCCCGCAAGGGTGATTGACACCCCCATGCAGCAAATATTTAGGTGTGCTTTGAATCTAATATACATATAGTGTCATCCCCAAAGTATGCACCATATGGGAAACTTATTTATTAAGGGTTTTTCGAAAAAAGTTATTCCTAATGAAAGTTTGTGCATCCCTTAAAACTAAGCATGCACCAACGAAATACAGTACAACCCACGTAATATACGAGGAGCCTTCAAATATTTGATTTTGTTTCAAGAGTAAGTACTCTTATTTTGAAAAATCCTGGGAAATGTTATGTATAAAAGTTGTTCAGCAATGAAAAATAAATCTAGATTTGAAGTCATGGCCATCTAAGTGAAGTTTCATTCTTTTTACCCATTTTTTAAAATGGAGACTACGATAAAAAATTTTGTTAAAACAATAAATAGACAGCATCCTGTATACGACGGTTCATTTTGTATTATTACAAATTACACAACTATGCTGTCAACCACAGTCAATTTTTTTGAAGTAGAATTAATTTTCAAAGTTTTTGGTGCAAAGTTATTTCAATTTTTCTGTCAACACCAAAAATTACTCAAAATTATAAAGTATTGTAACAAGAACTTAATATTCAATAATATCAAATCACAAAACGTCAAAATGAAATAGATATTTCGGATCAAACTCATTGATTTTCTGGAGATTCAACTTGAAACACTTATTTTGGACAAGAAAATATCCAGGAAATCAATGAGTTTGTTTGGAAATACCTATTTTATTTTGACGTTTTGTGATTTGATATTATTGAACATTAAGTTCTTGTTACAATACTGTATAATTTTGAGTAATTTTCTGTGTTAACAGAAAATTAAAATAACTTTGAACCAAAAACTTTGAAAATTAATTTACTCTTCAAAAAAATTGACCGTGGTATACCATAGTTGTGTAATTTGTTATATTACAGGCATTTAAAATAAACCGTCGTATACAGAATGCTGTCTATTTATCGTTTTAGCAATTTTTTTTTCCTAGTCTCCATTCAAAAAAATGGGTAACCAAATGAAACTTCACTTAGATGGCCATGACTTCAAATCTAAATGTATTTTTCAATGCTGAACAACTTTTCTATATCTAAATTTTTCGAAATTTTACAAAACAAGAGTACTTTACTCTTGTCACAAAATCAAATATTTGAAGGCATGTTTAGTCTTAGGGGATGCACAAACTTTTATCAACACGGGTTGGACGATAGCAAGTGAAGATCGATCGTTCAAACTAGGGCTTGAACCACCGACCAACACGGCAGTCAATTCGAGTGAGTGAACAAAGCACCCACGCCGAACCGCTTGGCTACCGACCGACCTGTATAAGCTGTATTTTAAAGCATAAGAAGTTTTATTTTTCAGTTCTAACATATATAGAATATGCATAGAATATTATACAGGCCGTTTTTTAACTGATCCTACTATTGCTATCTCGGAAACGATAAGACCTACGAGGTCGGTTACATTGGACAAACTGTTTCTATTTTGTGGAAATTGAATAATCTCTTTGCAGATCGAGAATATCAGTGGTCGTTTTTGAAATATTCGCCAAAAAGTAGACCTGTCGAATTTCGTTTTTGTCTCTACCTCTTCCATTTTGAATAATATAAAAAAGGCAGAAGAACTTTCCATATTTGTTATAATCTGATATAAACCAATTTTCAATGCAATGTTTTGTTCATTATAATCCATCATCAACTCTTTTTTTAATTCGAACCTATAGTTTTTTTCATCGATTTATGTAGCCACTGTAATAACAAACTCAACTATGTATTTCAATACATGTCCGTATTCAAAAAAATAAAGTTAAAGATGAAATCTAATGAACGAAATGTCGCATAACAAATTGGTTCATATCACATTATAACCAATATGAAAATGCATTGAGAAGTTAATTTGCTTTTTTTATATAATTCGAATGGATGCGACAGAGCTAAAGAAGGAAATTCAACAATTCTAGGGTTTGGTGAATATTTCAAAAACAATAGGAAATTTGAATTGGATGATTGTATGTCCTGAATAGTATTGAAATCGTGATTGTTCTCTAAGAGGTGGCACGCATAGGTGGAATTGGTTTTCTTCAGTTCAAACTTCTTTTATGTTCGGAGTTTCTCGTTTTGAAAACCATTGTCAAGTCCTGCCTTCATAAACTTTTGTTATCCTTGTCTATGTGTGACTTTATATGTCTATATTCTATGTTAATATTTTGTTTATTCGGTAACTTTTTTAATTTACCTGTTGTTATGTGATAGTATATTTGGTTAATAGTTTGTTTGAAAAGTTTTTTTAAAAAGGATGTGATGAATTACATTCGTGTTGAAGTTGTTATCCACTGCAGTTCGTTTTATCAGATTTTATTCCTTAGGTATTAAAATTATTTTTTGGCATTGTTATATTATTGAGTCTGTGGATCACACTGTGGTAAGCTGCTAATTTATGTTGCTGTAGAATGGTTGTTTATAGTTCTATCTGTATGGGTTTGTTTGTAGTGAATTGTGAAACCGTGTTTGTTGTTAATTTTTGTAATTGTGAGGTCCAAAAAGCTCATCGAATGATTGGTTTCTAGTTCTATTGTGAATTTGATGTTCTCATGAATAGGGTTGATGTATTGAAAAAAGACTGTAATTTTCTATATGTTTCTGTAAAACAGGCATCACATCATCAACATACCTATACCAGTAAATACATTTTTGGAAAATTGTATGCTGTTGTATAGTTTTTTCGAAGTTTTCCATGGAAATTCGGCTGAGGATTACCCATTATGATGCCTTCTTTGTTATATGTGGTATCATTAAATTCAAAATAATTTTGGCTGAGCCATACTGACAATAGTGAAAGGATCAAGGAATGATATGTGGACTATTTATTACCTACTACCGATGAAGCTACGGTGTTAACGAATGACGTCTAGAATTACAAAATGTTTGTGAATTTTTTTTATTATTGTCATGGATAGTGTTATTAATTTTCATCATGTTACGGTAGACCATTCATAAATTGAAATATACACTGATGAATTACACATGTATTGCCTAGCTGAATCGCGTACTGATGCTCTTAAAAAAGATAATAATGATGTAGATAATGTACTAAAAACTAAAACATAATTATCTAGGTCCAAGGTAGCAGTCATCACTCATCTCTCCTCAGCGATCTACGGTAGTGATCAGACGAAAAAATAATGAAATCGTTGGGCGTAAGCGTGCCCTGAGTAAATATGTAAATATTACGCCCAACGATTTTAATATTGCTTAATCTGAAGAATGAGTGTCAAGTTTTTGATATATTATAATAAGAAACATTCTGCAATATACTTTTCTTGTTGTAACCATTTTTACTTCATATCAAATAGATATTCATTGTGATATCCGACAGAATTGTCATTGTGATTGACATAGAGCTTGGAAAGTAAGTTCACAGAGAAAATTGCCGTTTTGGATAGAAATATTTTTTTATGTAAATATATAAATGTGGCAAATCAATTAATACCCGTGAAATGAATGTAGTCCGTAAAAAAAAATTTTTGGATTTTTGAATTGCTGTATCTTCAGAAGTGGATCTGTGCGCCTTTCATATCCAGATTAGTGATCAATCGACAAAAGTCCGTAAGTAAATTGAGAAATTGGAAGGGTATATTTTTAAAAGAGATTCATTTTTGGGAAAGAAAAAAAAATGTGTGAAGAAATGTGTGAATCTTCCAAAGAAAGGAAGGAAGCAATCAATTTTAAGAAATTAACTTTTATATGAACGCCGAATTATACGAAAAACACTTTACCCAATTCCGTTTGTATTCCAAACATTCGTAATGGAATCGAATCAGATATAATTCACAGTGAGGATGACAGTGTTACATGTAAGTGAAATTTTACTTCTTTCATATATTATATTGTGTAGGAATCCTGTAAATGATATCTCTAACTCGATTCTATTATGAATGTTTGGAATACAAAAATAATTGAGACAAGTATTTTTCTCTCATATAATACAATGGTGTCTTCCAGTTTGTGTCTGAAAGTTACTCCTTTGCATAATCTCCACATCTTTGTATAGGGTTAATTTTTTTAAATTGATCGCTTCCTTCCTTCATTTGGAAGATTCCCACATTTTTTGCACAAGATGTAGCAGTAGAAAGCCAAAATCTTTCTTTCCTATAAATTAAGAAAAAATGAAAAATTTAGTTTCTAAAACGAAAATCATTACCCCCGTTTTCCGCATATCCAAAATAATCATTGTCTAAATATTTCTCTACTTAATGAGAAACGTTCTAGCAATTTGAATATACAGTTTCAAAATAAACCACCCCCTTTTCGAATTCTATATGGAGAAAAAATATTTTGAAATGCAGCGCTCAAAGAAACAAATCTTCTAGTAAATTATGTGGACTCCTGAATAAGTAAAATAGAACTCACAAAATTTCTATAAGTTCGCAGTTCAAAAGCAACTTGTTCGGTCCCAATTCTACTACAGCCACCGTCAGATCGTGAAAATATACCATCCTCAGCGAGTCCTTGTCCACCCTTTTGCCGCTATAACTCTTCAAGTTTGTCCTGTGGTCCTTCCCCAAATTCCTGAAAGGTCCAAGGGCTGGCAGGTTGAAAGTCAGCGAAGGTTTCCCATTGATTCCAAATGTACACAACACAAAAAAAACTACATACATTGTTACTACATTCTCATTTCGTGTCAGGATCATTGTTTTTTATTATTGTCAACTTCACTTTTACTTCTGCTATGACAACTAGTGACTGTTTATTTACGTGCGTCCACGTGGTTGTGAACCGATGTCACATCTTTTGTAAAATATTGACGTTTCTTATGATATCTACCCACCGAACCAAGTTTCAGCCGCGACTGAACTGAAATTCCACTTGAATATGCCCGGCACCTGGACTTTGTAGGTCAGTAAAAGAAAAGTTCACTTATTGTTAGGTAGATAGTTTCAATTAAGCGAGGTGAAGAAATCCACAATCACGCCTTTGTCCGGTCCGGTCAATGACGGGAAATGCATTTGAGTAATTTTGCGCTCAACTAAACCCATCATGCGGTTGGCTTACACACCTGTGTCATGAATTCCTCTATTGAATAATGCATTCATTATAATATATCGGTTATCAGTACAAGTTTTTAAATATGTTTGTTCAGCTGAATAATATCAGCAAATGTACAATGATAAGGGTGATTACTGTTTTGAAAAAGGTACAAATAAATTGAAAAAATAAATAATTTGAAATAAATTTATAAATGTACACCTCTCTGCCAACGTTTCTAAATAGGATCATGGAAATGCGTTCCCGGAAACCCGGTTAAGAATGTAGGTGCAGTTTCAAAATCGAGCGTTTTGGTTCAATTTTTAATAACAACTCCCGTAGAAACCACTTCATATTGAAAAAAAATTAAATTCAACACAACAACTATATGACAAATTTTCTAACTAATCAGCAAAAAAAACTACCTTTCTCTCGCCCCGTCTTCTGGTAAACGAGTTACTAACCAACCGCATATCCGAATGACACAATTTCTCGTATAAGGACAAAACTCTTCACATATAGTAAGGGGGCATGCATGAAGACTGGCTCTAAATCAAATTATCTTAAAGAGCAGTTCGTTCAGACCAGTCTCAACTCACCTACATTGTAGGTTAATGGACTGACACCTACCAGGAAACAACTACTCCCCTGGCTAATACCACGAAGGACTTTGGATTATATCCGACAGGTGTCTGTGCAGGATTCTTCACAGAAGCAATTCCTGCATGTGATGTTAGCGATACAACTGCCGGAATCGATTTTCTATTATTGGAACGAGCACACTTGCAGACCGGTTTCGGGCTATTTGACCTCTCGTCAGTGCAAGATAATCTCAATCATCAACATGAAGTCGATTTTCCATTATTGAAAATCGAATTTCTTCCAGAGTATCATTACTCGAACTAGGCTGAAACGAACGACACCTAGTTAGTGGGTGGAGTTAGTACCTTGCAGCCGTGGGAGGCCTGCCGAAAATGCATCACATCAGACCTATTTCCCAAACCTCAAATTTATGTTGCTTGCCTAACTGACTAAGGTAGTCGCAAACTTACCACCGATCAGGTCCTCACTATACTAAGGAAAGTATATCATATTATGTTAACCTTGGAGTGAATAATTTTTCCCAAGAAAATTCGACTTATGTAAAATGGCGCTGATCTTTGCCTGGATGGACACTTACTCATTGTCGAATTTATTTAATTTGGATTATATAAGTACTTACATTCTATGATGAAAATCAAAGGTTTACTATTTAATTATAACAGTAATATTCAAATGCAATATAATATATAAATCAAAGTCGCAACAACCTGTTACTAATACCATTTATAACAATTAAAACACTTGAAATATTAAGACAAAAAATTGAAGATTGAACAAATTGACGACGTTCTATTTGTTAGGTTATGACGACAGTTGTCAAGGTGCGTACAAATTGAGCTGATAACATGATTATGCGTGCAAGAATTTATGTTATGCCATAATAGCAGCAGAGTTACAGCAAGCGCCAAACGTGATGGCGAGCTCGCCTCCATGCACACAAACTCATTTTCAATGTAACCCCCACTACAGCTTTCGCAAGAGACAAATGCTCTGTCCCCTAATTCCATTGGTGTTTGGCATTGTCTGAATAATTTGTATTGTTTCTGAAAAAATGTCATCGCCTAACAAAAAAACCAGTCATCAAGAGTGAGGAACGTGAAATATTTTTTAAAATGTTCAATTATTATAAGTGTTAAATATGAGTGGGATACGTTATCGAATGTGAAAAATGAATCATCTCTCGTTACAGGTAACATTAAATTAATTTAAAAAATAACTATTTCAACACAAATTTTTATTTTGTTGGGTATTTCAGTAAGAACCATTGAAAGAGTGGTTAAAGAAGGGGAGCAATTAATTTCTGCAAATAACGGAGAAGTAAAATTTTCCACCCCAAAAAAGAAGCGGCCTAGAAAAGCACTGGTAACTGATTTTCCCGTGTATGAATATTCCAATATTAGACGGATTATTCACGACTTTCATATGATGGAAGGGAGTCCTATTACGGTAAAAAAATTCCAACACAAAATTAATTACGTTTTGGGAATTGTGGCTTCCGAAACATCTCTTCGTAGTATTTAAGAGAAAATAATGTTCAAATGAAAGACTCAAAATTTTATTAGAGAAAATTGACATTAGAGCATTGAGGATCAAGTATTTACAAAAAATCTATTATTTTCGTAGCCAACAGCGACCAATATGTTTCTTGATGACACATACCTTCATAGTGGACATACTCTTCCAAAAACTGGACGGATGAATCAACTAAAACTAAAAAGTTATTTAAAAATATTGCGAAGGGACCAAGATTCATTATTGTCCATACAGGAGGTGACACGGGCTTTACACCTAATCGTCGGCTTATATTTGAATCAGGCACAACATCAGGGGATTATCATTCAGAAATGAATTCTGAAAATTATGGTAAATGGTTACGAAAAAAGTTGATCCCAAATTTACCTGTGAATTCAGTAGTCGTGACCGATAATGCTCCATACCATAATATTCAAATTAATCCAGCCCCCATGACAAATTCTAGGAAGGCTGACAAGATGAAGTGGCTACACGAAAAAAACATTATACGAATTGATGGAGGTAAATAAAAATCATCATATTAGATATAAATTTGATGAGGTTCTGCTTGAACACAGACATAATGTTTTGCGAATTCCGCCCTACCATCCTGATTTGAATCCCATTAAACTCATTTGGGCTTCTGTCAGAAACAACGTGTCCCAAAATAATGTAACTTCTAAGTTGGAAGACGTGAGGAAACTGGCAGAATACGAGTTTGATCAAATCACTTCCGAGGAATGGCAAAAGCGTTGCCGACATGTAGTAGATATAGAACGGAATAATTAGGAAAATGAAACATTTACAGACATTCAAACAGAGGTAAATTTTGTGATTATAACTTCAAATGACAATAGCAGTACAAGCAAGAACAGCAGAGATGATGAAGAAAATTTGTATTCAGATAGTGACTGATTAAAGTTTATTTTTGAATGTATCAGTATATAACATTATAATGAACCTACTACCTATAATACTAAATAAAATGTGAAAATAAATTACAAAGAAACATGTGGGTACCCTCATTGAAACTAATTATAGGTACGACACTGGCCGGAAAGGGACTTATCGTAATCCAATAGTAATTTAGTTGGGCGTACTGCCATCAGACGTGGTGTGTACTGTAGCAATATCCATCACAGATTCATTCACAATGCTGCGAGCGAGAATCTTTCACAACGGAGCAGTAATGCAACTAGGCAGCAGAATATTGCGAATCAAACCACTTCAGGTGAAGAAGAAATCGTATTAGAGGAACACCGTGTTCAATGTTGACAGGTCTACTGTTTTTGCAATACGAGTAGATCTACTGTTATGACTCTCAAACTAATGTTTGGCCGTTTGAGAGTTGAAATCTACTGATGACTCAGTTTATTTTCAATAATAATTATTAAATGACTTTGAATCGTGAAGATTACCATGTAATTAGTATATATGTATCTATAAAATATATTTTCCATTTTTTTGTGTCAATCTATTGTTTCTCTGACACAAACTCTGTTGTGTAAAGGCTATTTTTCGTTTTTTTTTGCCGTGGTCTGCAAGTTTTTATGTCTGGCATTTCGTATGATACTGCGGTAGATATTATCATAGGCGATGTGGTAACGGTCGTAGTGCCCGAGTTGGTGCTCGAGTTTTTGTTCCCGTTGTTCCCAGCCCAGTTACAAATTCCACTACTAAACATGAAAATAACAAAGGCAATACTGCCCGTGTTAGTATGGCTAGTTAAACATATTTCCGAAATTCATAGAGATCGCATATTATGCGTAGGTACATATCTGAGTTGCATGTGAAAGTGAGTACCAGATTCAACCCGTGATCAATTTATTTCCATACTAATGATTGACCTACTGAAGTGTGTAAAGAAGCATTGAAAGAAAGTCGCCTTATTGTGATAAATGCATAAAGATCTGAAATACAAACATTAATGTCGTTGAAGAATATCTTTAATTTACCGTGTTTCCTACCGTGAAATATTTATAGCTGAACAAAAGACTGTAACTGATGCGAATTATATAAACAATTACCTTTCGGTGTTACTCAAACACCGGAAAATTTGCGAAGATTGTATACAATACACATTCGCAGACAGTGCTTTCAGGCAGTTTGGTGTGGATTAATTTGTCAATAGTTATAGCAGTTACTTAGTACCTACCTACTTGAAGACCAGTGTAGAATTCTGTTAGAAACATAAGAGAGGCAAAAATTAATATCAGTATATAAATAATTTAAAAAATAAATTAAAGTATATTCAAGGTTTGTGGGACGAAATGAGATCAATTTTATGGGATAAAAATGGTTTTTCAAGATTTCCACCGAAACCGGATGAATGATGAAACTGGATGAATGAAAAAGTTGTTGAAAATATATAGACCTATAACTATAACTAACATAACCTAACCTAACCTAACCTAACCTAACCCAACCTAACCTAACCATTTTTCATAAAACCTAAATAAAAAAAAGTGTTTTTGAATCCATTATTTTTTTAAGAAAAATAATTTGTTTTTCACAATGGTGGAAAGTAATCTTCTTGATCCTTGTTATTCTGAATTTGTTTAATCGAAATATTCAATGTTACGGTTTATTTTGATGTTGAACCTAAAAAAAAACTCAATTTGAACCTGAAAACCATTGTTCTGAAAACGTACAATGAATGACCTTTCACATGGTATGAACAAGAAGTACCATCAATATAGCAAAATTTATCAGAAAATATGAGTAACTGAAAAAACTCATATATTGAAAATACTTCT